GTAGAGGCCCAGCCCAGACCCACTTCTCAGGGGTGCCTGGAGAGGAGATGGGGCCACAAGGGCATGGTGGGGAAGGTGCAGCCATCATTACAGACGGAAGGGACAGAGATAAGAGGCAGCCAAGAGCCACAGGCAGCAGGAAGAGTCCAGTTAGGAGGCGGGGTGCTGGCTGGAAGGGGACAAGCAGAAACACAAGGGGAAGGGCACCCGTCTCAGCGACAGGCGATGGACAGGAAGTGGGGGAGAACGCCCCCCGCCCCGGCCAGGCCGGGGGGACAGGCTGGGCTGAGGCTGTGAGGGGCGCGTCCCACCCGGCGGGCCTTCACACACCGTCTCCACCTTCAAGACCACACGGAGATCTGCCCGCCTTGCTGAGGCGTGCCAGGGCCCCTGCGAACTCCGAGTCGCCGCCACCCCAAGCCACCCAGCCCCGCAGCACAGCCCCTGGACCGCCGGGATTCCAGGATGAAAGCTTCCCCAGCCTGGGAGGCCCCAGGCCCCGCGGGGGGAGCTTCCAGGGCGGGGGCAAGATCTGGCCTGACTGGTCCACTGTGTCCTTCTCAGCCCCTCTTCTGTGCCCAGGGGCCTGTCCTCCGCATGGCAGCTGCCAGCTCCCAGCATGTTGGGGCTCACCATTAGGATGTGTGCTTCCTCTCACTGTGCCCGACTCTGAGGACTGTGGCCTCCGAGGGTCACACGGGCCTGGTCACACCTGTACTAGGTCAGGGCTCAGGGGTACAAACCCGGCCTTGCAGGCTCGAATCCAGTTCTTCCCGCCAACCTCTGCCTACACCGCCAGGTCCTGCAGCCGGCTGTGGGCGCCCGGAGTGCAGCCATGCTGACATGGGCAGGCTGCACGTCTGGGGGTCTCCTCAGGGGACACTGCCCAGTGCCCTGGGCTTTGGGGGCTGAGGCGGGCCTGTGGGGCAGGCCTCTCACTTTTCTGTCACCGCTGGCTCTGACTACGGACGTTGAAGGCTATTATTGTTCCTGCCTTGGCCTTAACCAAGAGCTCACCTGCCAGAATCTGCTCGCTAGAGGAATAAAGCAGCCAGAGTCGGGAAATGAAAGCTTTTCACTCTCAGCGCCTCTGCTGGGGGAGGCCCCCGGCCACAGATGCCTCATCAGAAACGCTGCCATCCTGCCTGGAAGGACCACGGAGGACGGCCGGCCAGAGGGCCTGGCCCAGGAAGGCGCCCATCCCTGCGCTGCGGGAACAGGCAAAGGCTTTGCCTCCAGAAGACCTGAGTTTATGCTGGGCCCCACGAGCCACAGGTGCCCAACAAGCCTGCCAGGCCACCTCTCCAGCTTCGGTATCTCAGACTGTAAGGGCACTGCCAGCTGGGCAGTAGGGAGTAAGCAAGAAACCCCTCCAGCTCCCAAGAAGCCAGCAGGCCAGGGAAGGGGGACCCTAGTCCCCCCTTGGGCACCACAGTGAGGGCCCCTAGCAGCTCCCCTGGCCCTCCCCGCTGCCACCCCAGCACAACAGGACAGCACAGCTGGCCTGGGTCAGCCCACAGTCCTCAGAGCCCAGCCGGAGCCCTGGAGGCGTCCTGGTCAAGGCCTGTCATCCCCACATTCTTGCCTGTCCCTGGGGATGCTGAGACGCTGGCAGCTCCTTCTCCCAGCCAGACCTTGCTGGCAGAGTGGGTGTGAGAGGAGCACTGGTTGGGGACCAGTCTCCCGGCTGCTTTCCCGGATGGAGACGAGACTGGAGTCTACGACCCCTGAGGAGAGGAGGGGGCGGGCACAGCCCGCAGCGAGGGGCCCCTCCGTGCCTGTGACACTCTGAGCACACATGCCTTAGAGCAGGGTCCCTTTCGCTCTTGAGAAGGGTGGCGTCAGACCGACCTGCTCAGCACAGACGTCAGAGCCAGGCTTCTGGGGGCTGGGGTCCACCAGTCCTGAGGCCTCAAGCCTCCACGGGCTTTGCACAGGGACCCCAATGAAGACAGCAGCTCTGCCCTAGACACCCCTACAGCCAAATAGCAGTGGGCTTAGGGGGAAGCATGCTATGCACCCCAGGAAAGGGCAGCTGTCTGTACCTTGGGCCAAGAGGACTTCACCCGGAGAAGCCCTGCTCCCCGCCCCGCCTTTCCCAGGCCCCTCCTTATCTCATGGAAGGAGGGGTGTCAGCGGGTCTTGGGTAGAATTCCACCCCGGCGTGGGAAGGCCGATGAACACTGAGGCTCAGAGTTTCTCATCCAAGAGGCTCGCTGACACCAGTCTGGCCCTGGAGTGGCCTTCCCAGAGGGGTTGAAACGGACAGCCGGGCAGCCAGGAAGAGCCTTCCGAGGGCGGAGTCCATGTTTCTCCACAGAGCCTGCCGCCTCCACGAACCACAGGTCTGAGCCCACCTGCCGAGGGTCCGTCTGCAGGGACGGCTGGCACCTGCCAGAGGCCACGCCCGCCGGGGAGCAGCAGGCGTGCAGCCTCGCCCGGCAGACAGCTGCTCCCTGCCTCCCTGCCTCCTGGCAGAGCAGAGCACATGGTTCTGCTCCAGGACAGTCTCCCAGAACATGACACACACACTGGCCTGGCCACGCTCCCGGGGCATGGGCCAAGGCGCCCTCCGGCCAGGCCCCTGTGGCCAGTGCTCAGGCCTCATTGCTCGACTCAGCACTCCAGGCAGGTTCTGAGCTCACCCCCACGGCGGCGGGGCCCTCCGCCCTCCGCGCCTTCCGTGTGAGCAGGCAGAGCCATCCCTGCCCGGCGGTCACATCCTGATTTCCTCTCCCCACACTCGGCCAGTCGCTGACCACAAGCCCCGCTCACTCACCGGGCTGCAGTTTCAGGGGAGGCCGGGCTGGCAGGGGGACAGAGAAAACACCGCAGGCACTTGGCTCTCAGCGGAGCCCTCTCGGCCATGCCGTGACTCGGAGCCTCAGCCATCCCAAACATGCAGAGCCGGGGTCAGCCAGCTCCCAGGGGCCGAGGCCGGGGGCGGGCCGGGGTGGGAAGGACAGAGGGATGCAGGTCTGAGGCCAGTCCCTCCCGTCTGCTCCCTCCCTGGTCATCTGGTCCACACCCCTGCCTTCAGCGAGCTCTGCGAGATGGCGACGACCTCACCTGTCCTCGGGGACCCTCTGGTTTAAGGGATTCCAGCACCTAAGAGATGCAGCCAAGGCCGTCTGCTGACCCTCTGCTGGTGTCTGAGTTGTGGACCTTACCCTGCAGGACCCGCAGACGCATCGCTGGCTGGGCCTGGCTGCACAAGTCAGAAGACCCGCTCTGGGCAGCCCCAGCGTGGCCCTCAGGGCCTGGCACATGTCTTCGTGGGGGAGCCGGGGGTCCCGGGCACCGACAAGGGGTGGGCTTGGATACCCCGCAACTCTGCATGGGCTCTGGGAGCCAAGGAACAAAAGGGGCAGAAGATGGGAAACCTGAGGCCCAGCCCCTATCTGGGAGGTCCCTGGGCTGGGGAGCCCCTCACAGCAGGAACCCCAGGTGCAGAAGAAAAGGCTCAGAGAGGCCAGGCCCGCGAGGTCAGGCAGTGTGCCCACAGCAGATGTGCCTCGGTGTGCCGGAGCCCAGAAGCACCTCAGTGGAGCGGGCACGTGTCACGGCTGTCCTGTCTTAAGTGTGGACCCTGGGCCCGGAGGCTAGGGGGTGGGTGAGGGACAGCTGACACTCGGGAGCCTGCCCTGGGCCTGGCACCCCTAGGCCCCTTGATTCATTCCCTACACCAACGCGGTCACCCCCTTGTAGGGGGCCTTGTCGGGAGAGTGTGAGATGGCAGCTAGGCCACCCCTCCTCCCCCGGGGCCTGGGAGGGGCGCTCCTCCCCTCCCCCAGCTCCCCTGTACTCCGCACGTCCCATCCCGGGGTCAGGGTGCGGGCCTCGGCGGGCTCTGCCATCCCAATGGGGCCATTTCACAGGAGGGGAAACCAAGGCCAAAGCCAGGACGGGGCGGGGATGATGGGGCGCCATCTCCCTCCTCACTGAGCCCTGGCTCCTTCGTCCCCCACATCAGAAAAGCACAGGGTCCCGGCGTCCTGGGGTGTGAACAACGGGTCACAGCAACCCCTCTGCTGCACGTGCCCCCCGACTCCTGATGACCCAGGACACATGAGCACACGGACTCCGGGACCACACAGCGTTTGCAGAACCTCTTGGCCAGGCAGACCTCCGGCCCCCGGGCCTGACCTCTGACAGACGCGCACAGCTGCTGCCCCACAGCTGGGGACAGTTTTTTCCTTTGCAGGAAAGGCAGTTCTGGGAGGTGGAAGACACAGCAAGGTTCTGATATGGCCCAGGGAAGCGCACGCTCGCTGTCCAACAGCCCCGCGCTCTTGGGAGGGTCTAGCTGCCCAGACCCAGCCCTGCGGTCGGATGCCAGGCAGGGGGCCAGAGCAGGCAAAGGGGTGTGAGGGGGCGATGGGGAACGGCACAGGCCCCACTCGGCCTCCCCGGCCTTCTTCCCACTCAGCCCTAATCCTCTCTCCCTCCCTCTCTCTCTGTCTCTCTCTCTGTCTCTCCCTCTGTCTCTCTCCCTCTCTTTCTCTGCCAGCCTGCCAGCCATGGCAGGACTGGGGACTGGGTGTGCCCAGAGCTGGTGAACACTTCCTGCCCCCTGCCCGGATCTCAGCCAGCCCTTGTCAGGGCAGGGTGCCCACCAGTGCCCTGTGCCCGCCTAGCACATGGCCCGCCTCCCTCCCGCATGGGGACCTGCTGCCTGTGCTCGGCCAGGCTGGCCGCCCACCCACCCTCTCCAGCGGCAGCTGTGGGCCCACCACCTGTACCTCTCCCCATGCACAGCCCCCCAGGACACCCCCGCCCACATCAGGTTCTTTGAGTCCCCTCAGGCTCATTTCAGGAGAGATATGTGCACCCCTAAAGGCATGGGGAGTGGATGAGGCAGGAAGGACCCCAAGGACTGGGCAGAACCCCAAGTGGACCCCTCAGAGCAGCCCAGGGGGTGGGGAGAAGACAGTCCAGGACCAGCCAGGCAGGGAGGCCGAGGCCAGGCGGTGGCAGCGGGGAGCGGGCCCGGGGCCTACCTCGGCAGGTCTTGCCATCTCCCTGCAGCTGGTGGCCGGGGGGGCAGCGGCAGTAGAAGCCTCCTATGGTGTTGCAGCACAGGCCTTCACAGCCCCCGTTGCCGGCGGCACACTCATTCACATCTGCGAGGGGGACAAGCAGGTGAGCGCCACGCGGGGACTCCCCCGGCAGCCACGGCCATCCCAAGGGCTCACAGCAGCGAGACGCAGCCTTCCCCTACACGAGGGCTTGGGCCTCGCCCTGTCAGACACGCCCCATGAGGCGGGAACCCCATGGTGAACCCAGCCGCAGCAGGGACACCCTATCACTGAGTCCCTCCACACACCCAGGACAAGCGGCCACCCTGCGGCATTCGAGCACCACCTGGTTGGCAGGAAGGCCACGCCACACAGCTCAGCACAGGAGTGGGCACTGCTTCCTCAAAAGGAGTCACACCTTCTTCTGTGAGGGCACGGGAACGGCCTCTGTGTGCGCTCCGGTCCAACCGTCCCTTTGCCAGGGACACCAGGCTTCCCCAGCTTTGATGCCAGGGGTCCCACACTGTCACCGTCACAGGGCGCTGGGCTCCAGTGTGGAGTGGAGCAGGTGGGGAGACTCAACACCAGCTCCTGTCCTGTGTCCTGCTCGTGGTGCGGGGACATGGGCACTTCCCCTGGGGTTGGACACCTGGCCACCGTGGGGGTCACACAGGACTTCCACCTGAGGCTAGGTACGTCACTGCCCCCCACCATATCTGACCCCAGCCTGCCAGGGGCCTGTGGGATTAAGGCTGCCAACGGGGAGGGGCAGGTGACTTGCCTTGGTTCCTAGGATGCCTCGTACCTGCGTGTGTGTGTGTGTGTGTGTGTGTGCATGTGTGTGTGTGGTGACACGGGGACCAGGCGCCTCACCCATCTCCAGCCCCGACCGAGCTGCCCACCCCTGGTCCGAGAGGGGCTCTGCCTCCTATCCTTCCAGCCCCTCAAGGCCAAAGACACGGCTCCCTGGCTTCATGGGGAATGTGATCTGTGGTCAGGTGCAGAAACAGCAGGGACCCCAACATGTCCCAGGCCATGGATGGCCAGGTGCCAGCACAGCCCACAGGGCTCAGACCCTGAAAGAGTCAGACTTGTCGTGGCCGCACACGGGAGCCGCCCTCGAGTGGAGGCTCAGTGACGACAGGCCCCGGATGGTGTTCCCAGACCTAAGCCCAAGGTCCCGCTAACGGCTTCCGCGTTCATCTCTGCATTTCTCTGGGAGGGTCCCCTGAAGACCCCAAGCTGGGCTTAGGCTGCAGGGGAGGCCAGAGGCCCACAGGAACAGCTGTGACGGGAACTGCCTTGGGGCTGCTGGAACGCAGCTGTCAGCCCGAGCCTGCGAGGTTAAAGTCGGGGGTTTCCTGGGAATTCCTAGATAATTATGCAGGGCCAAGCAGAGGTCAGGCTGGCCCAGCCCAGGGGTCAGAGCAGGGGTGTCTGGCCTGGAGAGACAGCACAAACGCCCATCGGCCAGTAGCAGCCAGTGTGAGGCACACCCAGAAGCTTCTGGGCCTGTCCTGGCATTCAGGTTACTCGGCCGGGCAGCCGGGAGGGCAGGCCGCCAGACCAAGAGAGGTCTCTCACAGCTGCTGTCATGGCACGGTCCCGGCTGCCTGGGCGTGGGTGGCTGTCTGCCACGGGAACGCCGGGCACCACCACGAAGGCGGGTCAGTTTCATAGCACCCCACCCTGCCCTACAGATGCCAGGGTGAAGGGTGGCACCAGCACCCCAGACAGCCCCCTCCATGCCCCAGCAGGGCTGAGCCCTTGTGGTTCTGCACCGGACGAGCTCTCAGTAGCTGTGTCCACCAGCTGGACGGGGCCATCCTCAGAGCGGGTACCAGCCCTGCTCGTCTGAACAAACAGCACACTTAGGGCCCAAGAGAGAAGCAGAGATGGCAGGACGGTCGGCAGCCCGCGCTGAGAAGGGGCCCTGACCAGGGCCAGGGAGGGACATGGCAGATTCAGCAAGCTCCCCTCTGCTGAGCACCTGCTATATACACAGCTGGGGGGCCTGGGGGTAAGGGCCCCCATAAGGGCCCCACCATCCTAGGCAATGGGCAGCATGAGGATGGGGTGGGGGTACCCCAAGGGGGAAGGGCCCAGACACTGCACTTTAGGTTCTAAGTACCCTGCTCAATGCGGGGCACCTAATCGCCTGTTTAACGCCCCCCACCCCCAGCAGGGCTGCCCCCTCTTGAAGCCATCTTTTTTCATTCCACAGCACCTGTGACAAGCGACAACTGTATATGTTGCCCCCTCCAGACGCAGCCTGAGGGGAAGAGGTTCTTCATTGTTTGCCCTTTTACTGTAACTCCCACACTGAGCACAAAACCCCACACGTCGCAGTCCCCCAGGTGTCTGGTGAATTCACTGTGAGCCAGGGTGCCGTGGGGGCCCCTGGGGGCCTAGGGGAAGGGTGGGAGGGGAGCTTACCCCCACTCTAAATCCTATGAAATGCCCCCCTGGTTACCTATTCAAGAACCAAATAAACAGCGGATGTTTCAGACTCGGGGGAAGAGAGTGCCTGCCCAAGTCCGGGGGGCAGCTGGGGTTCTGTGGGTACCCCAGGGTGGTCAGCAGCCCTGCTGAGGGCGGGTCCAGCAATGACTCCCTGGCCAGCCTCAGGGGAGGGGACTGTGGCCACCCAGCAGCCAGACCTGGGCTAGAATCCACATCTTGGGCTGAGGTCATCTGGGGAAAGCATTTCCAAGGCTTCCTCCAGAGGTGGGGGCACTGTCCCCATTTTCTGGAGGTGCAGAATGGCCTCTGGCCCCCAAGCCAGGCCCACAGAAGCCTGGGGTACAGACACAGATGCACAAAGGCTGGCCTGGAATCCCCCCTCCTCAGGGACCCCTGCCATCCCCAAAGGGAGATGGTGGCACAAGCCACACAGAGCAGAGGCCAGGCTGAAGGGTGGCGAGCGGAAGGCTGGCCCTCTCCACGCCAGGAAGACCTCACCACCAGCAGAAAGGTACGCCTCCCTCAGTCAGGTAAACACAGAGCCACGGTGTGGCCTGGCAGTTCCCTCATGGGCATCTGTCTGCCCAGAACTAAAAACAGGTGCGCAGACGGATACATGTACGTGAATCTCCACAATTGCCAGAAGGTGGGAACCACCCAAATGTCCAGAAAGGGACCAACAGACAAACAACCTGAGGCCCATGCACACAGTGGAATGTTACTCGGCCATGAAGAGGAATGATGTCCGGACACGTTCGTTACATGGTGTGTGGGCCTCGGAAGCCAGCCAGGAAAGGCCCCGTACACTGACTCCATCGAGAGGAAATGTTCAGAGCAAGCAAGTCCACAGAGACAAGGGGAGGGTCAATGGCTGCCAGGACGGGGGTGGGGAGAGGAGGAGGAATGGAGAAGGCCTGACGACCGGGAGTGGGTCTCCTCTGGAGCTGGACAGAGGTGGTGGTCGCACCGCACGGTGAGCGTGCTACGTGCCACGGGACTGCACACTTCAAAGGGGTCATTTTGGTGCTACATGAACTTCACCTCAATTTTAAAAAAGAATAAAATCATTGCTCAGGCTGGCGGCCACACCACACTTCTCCAGGAATCTGGGTGCAGAGGGAAAAGGGGGCTCAGACCTTGGCTCCTGACCTGCTCTGCTCCATGACAGGGGCCTCTCTCGGGCAGCAGCAGCTGAGCAAAGGTCCTAAGCAGCCAGCGGCCACCCAGCCTGAGTGAGGGCTGCGAAGGCCCTGCCCTTTTCCCTGGCCTGGCGACCACGGGCTGCAGGGTGGACAAGAGGTGTGCTCACCCCGGGAGAGCTGGTCTCCGCCCCACCGCACCCTACCTGTTCACCTGCAGCCTGGGTGCCACCATGGGGACCTCAGATCTGCTGTGAGGCACCACTGGGGACTAGATTCGGAGAGGCCAGCCGGGCCTCCGAGCCCCCAGTGGGATGCAGGTGAGAACAGGCACCTGGTCCAGGCCCCCAGATCCAGGCCTGCGTGGTCACATGGCCGGGCAGTGCCAGCCTCCCAGGCAGGTGCCCTCACATGCCAGACCCGGGCACAGCCCCTTCTCACAGTGAGACATCCCGGGGCTCCTCGAGGGTGGCTCCTCCTCCCTGAATGGTGACAGAGCCTTTTCCCAAGGAACACAGAGCTGGGAACAGAGCAGAGACCCCAGAGAACAGGCTACACGCTCAGCCCACTCAGTCCCGGTTAATCCCCCTGGGGTGGAGGCTGCTGGGAGTGACAGGGCCTCCAGGGGGCCTGGAAGGGGCAGGATATGGGGACCCCCCAGGAGTGTGCAGTGCAGGGTCGGGCCCGGGCAGTGCTTCTCTCAGCAGCGTGCCAGCCACAAAACAGCTGGGCTGTGGGTCTCGCCCCAGGAAACCAGCCCCGTGGGTCATCACCCAGCCCGAGCCCACCCTTAAGAACTGAGTGTGCCTTCGAACACCACCGGCCAGGCTCCACACCCTGCGGCCCCTCCCCCGTTGCCACATTCCAGGCGGATTCAGCTGCCCCTGCAGGCAGGGTGCACAGGGACCTCTGGTGTAAGGGTGACAGGAGCGGTGAGGCAGTACAGCCTGCCCTCACCGCCAGAGTGCACTGGACGGCCCGGCTACCCCCACCTGCCCAGGGAAATCCTGCCTCCCACCCTGCTCCGCCCCATCTCTTCCTCCTGAGCCCCTACTCCCAGGGTCCCAGAGCGTGGGAGCCACGGCCAACTGACTTTCCTGTCTGGGACCCAGCCTGCCCCCTCCCTTGTCACCCCAGGCTGCTCTGGGTGACCTGGCAACCCTAGAACACACAGCCGGGCCCCCTGCAGTTTCCCAGCTGGTGGACGGGGCACTGTGTACTCATGGGCCTGTGTGCCCTGAGCACACCCATTCTCTGCTTGGGAGTCTGTAGAAAAAGACCGAGTGGGGAGGGCACGGGGCACGGCCAGGGGTCCCCCCACCACCTGCCCGTGAGGAGGAGGAGCAGTTGAGGATGGCGAAAGCTCCCTCCCAGTAATGAAGGCTGAGGCCACCCAAGGGAGACCGCCTGAGCCTGTGGGGCAGGCAGGTGGCCGGGCCTTGGCTCACTGGGCCTGTGGGGACAGTTACCCTCACCCCGCCCACCCTCCCAGGCCGAGGGCTG